AGGATTTCGACGCCCACGGCGAGGGATAACGAGGCGAGCTGAGAGTCCTCCTCTTCGTGGAGGTGAGACACACACCGGTAGGTCTTTCGCAGCAATGCGCGCACGGCCCACAGGGACATAATTGATATCCGGGAAGAGCAAAGGGAAGAAGAACGAACCTCTGGAGATAGTTCGGTCGTGGCAGCAGCGTGCAAGAGGAAAAAATTACCTTACGGAAAGTGACCGACCAACACGAAAGGAAGAAGGACAGAGGACCACCGAGATCGTGTCTAGAAACGCCGACTTGCCGAAACTCTGGCAAAGGCCACTTAAGAGTCCACTAAATATGCCTTTTCCTTTCTTCTCCCGTGCCCCACGCCGAATCTCGATCCTTTTCCTTAATGGGTTTCTTTAATCGGTCCAGCACTGCGCAAACATAGAGCAAACCACCTTCGTTCGAGCTAATTGCTAGTCGCTGGTCTCCACAGAATCCTTCTCCTATTGTCTACTTCGTTTCTCTACGTCTTTCTTCGTTTGGCCAAGTGTTACTGTGTTATTTGGTTAATCTTGAAATTTTTTGTTTTTCTTGGTTCAATTCGTCTCTAGGAGATCCAAAAATCGACTTTTGGATTGTTGTATTCTTCGAATGTTTACACTCTCGAAAATATTTGGGAAAATTTCCGACAGTTTGCACATTTCAATCAAAAATTTGTTTTCTAGGTTCAATTCGATATCTGAAAGGGGTATTAATTTCTAAGAAGTCCAAAAAATCGACTTTTGGGTTGTTGTATTCTTCGAATATTTACACTCTCGAAAATATTTTGGAAAATTTCCGACAGTTTTCATATTTTCAGCAAGAATTCTTCTTCTTGGTTCAACTCGATGTGTGAGAGAGGTATTCATTTCTAAGAAGTCCAAAAAATTTACTTTTGAATTACTGTACCTATTCTTCGAATATTTAGATTCGAAAATATTTGGGAAAATTTGCGACAGTTTTCATATTTTCAGCAAGAATTCTTCTTCTTGGTTCAACTCGATGTGTGAGAGAGGTATTCATTTCTAAGAAGTCCAAAAAATTTACTTTTGAATTACTGTACCTATTCTTCGAATATTTAGACTCTCGAAAATATTTGGGAAAATTTCCGACAGTTTTCATATTTTCAGCAAGAATTCTTCTTCTTGGTTCAACTCGATGTGTGAGAGAGGTATTCATTTCTAAGAAGTCCAAAAAATTGACTTTTGAATTACTGTACCTATTCTTCGAATATTTAAACTCTCGAAAATATTTGGGAAAATTTCCGACAGTTTGCACATTTCAAGAAAAAATTTTATTTCTAGGTTCAATTCGATAGCTGAAAGGGGTATTCGAAAACATTTTCCTTGCGTATATTCTCGAAATTTATAATAAATTTCAAAATTACAGAAATTTGAAGAACCAAGTGGGATCCAAGTTGCTACACAGACATGGCAAACATTAAACCTAGTTAGTCTTTATTCCACCTATTTACACGGTATTTTAATTCGTATAATTTTTAGCACACCTGTACTCGTGTATCTAGAGATCTCTATTTCACGTGTATTTATCTCTTTTTTATCTCCGTTCGCGTTGTATTATGTCCAAATTTATTATTATTATCTGCAACCTGGTAATTTCGGAAGCCACATTTTGTTTGCGCAAATTACTCGGGTGAATATACCCAAACACTCGAGTATCCGTGTAATATACAAAAAAATGCCACGAATTCAAATACGAACGTAAAATCGAGATCTCTAAATACAAATTCTCTTAAATTTATCTGCTAAAAATGACACGAATTTACACGTGTAATTAAAAACACAGATTGTTTAATTCCCTGATACACGTACCTGTGTAACACACGTTCAAAGCCACGATATCTACGTTAAAGAAAGGAAGGCTTAGAGACGAATTGCAAATTTCAGCGAAATTTCAGGAAATACTATCCTCGCTCTTCAGTTTTTATCGCTAAAACCATATGTGACGTAAAATATATCCAATGTCGGTCGCACGACAAACAAGATTATCGCTGGTTCGTGGTCCTGTGAAATAATAAGTATGCGAGCGTTATATGGTACAACGAGAGAGGCGCATGCACGGAAATCCTGGTTACCGCTGTTCGATCCCGTCGACCGTAAATCATACTACCGTGCAGAGAATGCTTGCGATTCCATGCTCTTGAATAATTGCGTCTACCTTTAACCACCTGCGGGTTTAATCCTATCATACCGTCTTGTACGATGAAACAACCGAATTCCTGGTATTCAACTATGGATAACAAACATGAAGAAACCGAAAAGGTATATGGTTCGCTCTACAACATGATCGCCGTGAAAAGCACGCTAACCACCGCAGAAATGCGTCTAACGATTATGTGCAATTTTCCAAATTGCGAGCTAAATGGAAGAAATGTTTGTGGAACGAGGATGATTTAGTGAATTACTGAATAACACGTAAAAAATGCGAATTACGTCGGTTTAACGAGCTCTTAGATTGGAAGAAAGTGGAGTTTTATGTGAATTAAATGTCGAGTAGAAATTAATACTTTAAAACATATTGATAAAGAATGTAATAGGAATTATTTGTAAAAAATACCCTTTACTCGCGTTGGTTATCTTTTTTCCCTTTTAATTTTCAAGCGTAGATATTCTACACTTGAAATTTCTCACGTGTAAAAATGATTTTTCCGTGTATTTTGCAAATTCGAATTTAAGTGGCTATCCTGAACATCGAGATTCTTTCTTTCATATTGCATTACTGTACATATTGTAACTTTAATCTTCGTTGTTTTTAACTACTTTTCTTTATTACTAAATCAATCAAAATTTAAAAATATTACCTTCGAGGGAAAAGATGTGTATAACAAAGAATTAGAAAACGTATCAGACGAAAAGTTTGTTTGGCTTAAAAGGGATACTATCTGACAATGAATGACAAACTCAACTGATCGTGAAAAATGCGTCTTAGAAGTCTTTGCCACAAAAGCGAAATCTTTGTATAGATATGAAATCCACGTTTGTACACGAAACTTGTGGAAAAGCTTCAAAGGTTTTTTCCCATTGGTAAAGGTATTTACCAACCCCAGATTTATCAATGATCTTCAACTGAATTCTGCATCGGTAGACCGAGTAAATAAAAAAAATCAGATGAACGGGATTAGTCTGCGCCATAAATAGATTTAGTTCGAATGAACGACAAGAATCCACTTCTAGAACCCAAAACTATAAAATTACTTTATTTTTCAATTACTTTAAATATAATAACGTTAACATTTACAGGTGTAATCTTTTTCTCAAAAATCTGTAATCGTTTAAATGCAAACAAATGTAACATTAAAATCAAAACGATCAAAAGTGCTCGTAGCGATGCAATTCTGAGCAAACACAAGATTTAAAACAATAAAAAAAAAAAATAGAACAAAAGATTACGGTAGATTCTTTTCACGATATCTGTCGATTTTATCGAAAAGACACAACAAGGATCGAGATAATTTCAAAACACGCCACGATAGGTATAATCTTTGCGGAATGTCAATACCAGCGTTATGAGCGTGGTTTTTTGTCGAGAGTTCCTTTTACGCGTCGTTTAACCTACGATTCGAATCATTTCGATTTGTACGCGGACAATTTTCCGCCACTCAACGTCAGATCTGCTTACCTCGACCGTGATCGAGGAGAAAAAGGAGAGTAGAAGGAAAGCATGAAAAACTTGTCAGCAAGTTTGAACGCGAACAAAGAACTGCCTGTCGTTGTATACAGGTGCCTTTAAACGGCGAGATTATCATTGTTCTGATATTTATCTAGCAGTCTCTGCTAGCATTTCCCCGCACTTTACTTCCCCTTTTTCATCTCGTCCATCTCTTCACTGTCGCTCTAGTACCGTGAAAAACGAACATTCCAGGGTGCAGCCGTATTTTTCGGATTGACAAATAAACGGACAATGAAAAGTCCCGAGGCTTGTCCGTCAAGCAGAATAATTCTATTTAACCCAGGCATGTCCGAACTCTACGATGGGCGGAGTCCCTCACGCGGTTTCTTCCATCTCCACACGCCAATGGCGTTGCACGCGAGGCATTCAAATTTTGGATAAAAGGTCGGCTATAGCGTAAGCGTGCTCGAGTAAATTTAACTACGCGCGTAATTGTATTAATTAATGTATATTTACGCGGAGTTCGGTAAAATTGGTAGAAAATTTGAGGGATGATTCTAGAAGCTAAAATAAGACGAAAGTCAAGAATAAAAAAATTTCTTTTAAGGCTCCGTTTTTGAGTTATTAATATTTGAAAATATCCCTGTGACCGAGCAACCCTCCTTACACAAGCGAATGTAAGACAGTCAGGGCACAAGGGGTATACAGCGATTCTCAAAACTAACGAGATATGGCTAGTATTTAATGTTGTAATATGTATAAAGGAGGCCGAATATCACTGTTTTCTTCTCCTGTCAGCCATGTGTCGTTGGTTTTGAGGATCACTATACTCCTTTTCAAAAAAATCGACAAAAATCTGAGGCGCGGACTCGCATGTGGTTTTCAACACGCTCTCTTAAGCAAATTCTAATCGTATGCGATACTTTGATGAAGTAGCTAGCCGTTTACAAACGTACTTATTTGGACAAACTGGAAGAAACGTCCAGAACAAGTACCGCGTTTTTCAGACAAACAATGCTGTTTCGACGAATTAGTTTCGCACAGTTGCTCGTCTAGTTGCAATCATATAACAGAAATTTCCTTTCTTAAGTGCACGCTTCTGCACGCGTATGTGCATTATAGAAAGAAAAAAAAATGCACGATAATTGTCTTCTTCCTTTCGGAGCATGCTTCGACATACATAATTAAAGGAAGCATAAATATTTCCGGAATGCATAATGAATGTATTATAAAAGGGAAAGTTCTTAAGTTTTAATCTCTCGTTATAGCAAACGGTGGATGACTTGTCAAAACGTGAAAGGCATTTTTATTTCCTTGTTACATGTGCAATTTTTATACTTTTATGAATACAAGGTAATTACAGCTGTTTAAGGCAGTAAGAAAAATATGTGTGAACGTATTATGCACAGATCTACTCACCACATTGACGAAATCCTGAAACGTCACTGCTTGAACATGCGATTCCTTCGCTCTGCTGAGAAGAATATCTCGTTTATTTGGCGGTATCTCGGCTTTCCATTCGGAACTCTTCAAAGCGGCCAAAAAATCCTCCATCGGTATCTCGCCAAAACCCTCGGGATCAAACTAAGAAAAATTTACACTTAAGAAATCGCGCAAACTGATCTTCTGTTGGTAAATTTGTTAAGAAATTTATGGGCATACCTTATCAAACAACATTCGCCATTTCTGTAATGAAAAAAAAAAAACAAAGGGATGAATAATGATGTTAATTTAAAATATTTTCTAACGTTAAATAATACGCTTTGAAGAGAACAATAAAAAACAGATATATTCATTTGCTAATATTAAAAGATGAAACATGATGAAAATAAAATACGTATAATTTCTGTTTATCAGTTATAAACTATTATGAAGATTTGTTAGATGTATTAGTATTTTTTAAACAAATAGAACCATCTTAATCACATTACTTTGATTTAGCATATAGTAAGCAAAAAATATCCTTTTTCTATTTTCTACTTGGGTATTTACAATCATATCAATTTCTGGTAACAATTTTTAGTTTACTTTAGTTTACTTTAATTTACTTAATTTAGCTTAGTTTAGGGTCACGTGTGACATGTAAAAGTGCTTGTAAAATATGATTTCTTAAACTTGTGGCTATTTTTTTTTTTAAATTAAAACAGTATTTGTGCAATTTTCGCTGGGTAAAGCACTAACCTATCCGTTGAGCAACTGCCTGCCCTAACGCGTAAAAATTGCCAGATTTTAGGCGCCGATTTTAATTCTCAATAATTAAAAGAATAAAGCTTCAAATACAATTTTCTATTCTTATTTTTCATTTTATTTTGACTTCTAGAATTACCCCTTAAAATTTCTCCGAGGTATGGCCGAACACCCTGTATAAATGTAAGATAAGTATATGTGTACATACATCGTTAAGAAGCTCCCGCCTGTATTCGGATTCGTCGATATCGATTTCGGAAGCAAGATCGGTATGATCGGTAACATAGCCATCGTAGTGAGCGCTGTTCGCTTCGCTGCGTGCATATTCTTCCTCCTCCTCGACAGTACCGGCGATGGTCGGTATCGAAGCACCGCTTGCCAGTAGCATTACCAGGCGTGGCACAAGGTCACCGGATAAATCTCCTCATTCCACCCTCTTTCGTCCGTTTTCTGAAGCACAAGCACATCGTGGCATTGCTACCGATGGGAAACTCCATGATGTTCGACATATTAGACATTTCTACTAATTTATTCTACAACATCGTTCAATACTTACTGTACTATTTCGTTTGCAACATCAAAATAGTATGGGCTTAAAAGTCAAGTACATTTAACTTGTAATTGTTAAGCACTCTAATAAGCATGACTTACGTAGTAAGTTATTATTATGCTCGATAAAAGTACTTGAGCCTTACAATTTGTTGGCTTTCTAGGTTATACACGAAATGTAAACAAATAACTGGAAGTAATTTGAACGACTTATCGGGATAATTATATAAGGAACATCGATCGTTCATTTCTTTTTAAACGTGCTTCAGGCTTTGTGCAAAGACGCGACAAACTATGCAGTATAATATCACTCGGGCGACGGTGCCGTTTCTATGGCAATGCATCGTCGATAGGTCTGACTGCACACAACCTCTCTACTATATCTTTCTATTGTCCACAAGATTCACCCGAAGTATGTACATCGCTTTTAATCAAGTAACAGTTTCTTTACCTTATTTTATGTAATGTAAAAAGTTTTTACAGTGTACATTACATTTTTGAAACGAAGGATCCTATGATATTAATTATATCTTGTTAAAAATTGCATCACTATTGAAAAAATTGATGCGAGTTTACTTTGCGATTTAGAGAACATGTTTCAGCTACATTTTGAACACTAAATTCTACTGCTGTTAACATAGTAATATGAAATTAAAATGAAAGAATTAAAAAATTATAATTAAAAACTTCTTTATATTTAAACGTAATCATGTGGCTTGTAATTGGTTAATTACAAATCAAATTGATAATTGTTGCAGTAATTAATAATTAGTACCTTAAGTAACTATTTTTTGAAATAGTGCTTGCAAATACAATTTTTGTACCATAATGTATCATAATATAACGTAATAATTTACTAATTTATTAAATAAAAACGTGAAAGTGAAGAAGATTAAATTTATTATTCCATATTCCTGCAGAAATAGGTCATGCTATAAAGCTTCTGTAATTTTGTTAAACTCCCTTCTCATGCAATTATTTTCCCAGTAAACATGCCAAGCAGTAATAAATAGCAAAATATTCTTCGCATAATGAAGCGTCTATCAGATTAAATAAAGTACGATTAAAATTCCTATTAGAGAATAAAATAAGACTTTCTCGAACAATACGATACTACGACAAATATTGTAAAACTCCTTTATAATCGTGAAGCAGTAACGTGTAATTAAATATAAACTACAAAAATAATAAATCGCGTTAAATTCGTACTAATTAAACTGGTCCTTTTCAATTGTTTATTGTTCGAATAGTTTCGATGTATCATCAGCATTATTTCAGCATTATATTTTAGCATTATCGTTAAGAGCATCGAACTTTCATTGAACGAGATAAATTCCCAGCCAACAATTACTTTAAGTCTCGTCGTTTCGATACATTTCCAATCTTAGATCTAATACGATACGCAAATTTCTAACCGCGATGCAACCAATACGTCCACGCGTCAGCTTACACTACACCCCCCTCACCCTCACCCCTCCCCAGCCGCCACCCACTCGGCCCAGTCTCTTGCCCTTTCCGTTCCTCCTCCCCCGACTCCTTCACAACCACGTTCATTCGTTACCCTCCGTTTTGGCACAACGTCACTGGAACTCATCCCCCTTTCCTGTCGTCGTACCAACCCCACCAAGTCATCCCCCCAATCCTTGACGCACACATACTCTGTCTCTTTTCGATCCTGTTTACCTGTCCTCCTTCTGCGCCATCTTCTAAGCGCAATTACGTCTCGTGCAAGCAGACACATTTGCACGAGACGTTGCTCTAAGGTCGACGACCTTGAAGAATGTCCGACGACACATCGTCATGGACGATGCTTCTTACGTATACCTTGGTGTCTTTTTACGGCTAGCCCTACCGTGGCGTTATATTACCTCGAACCCTTTTGTGATGCACGAAACGGTGGGTCTAACTTCGTTCGTTTACATTGTATATACCATATCTGTGCAACTATTTAGTAGTAACAAGACGGGAAGTTTTGTCATCTTCTTATCGGAAAGAACAGGTTGTCAAAGTTACGAGCCAATGCATACACTTTGTTTCAAGACGTGAATGTGTATTTACACAGTTTCTTTGGGTGTTAACCTTTCACACGACTTCTATGACTATCCCTACTATGTACATAGTATAATCTTACTTTCACTGTTTTGCTCAGAGAATGGCTTGTATTTGATAGTTTATAATACGCAACAATGTTAATCGCATAACTTTTAGAAAGGTCATAGTAACATTTCTTAACATTCAGGTTGGATAACATGGAAATTGTTTGTAAGATAAATCGTAGAGAATATGTCGATAGAATTAGTGATTTCTATTTAAATTATGATTTCTGTGACAAATTTTAATTTAGTTAAAATTTAGTTTAAAATCCAGGGAAAAATGTGAATACCAGAAAAAAGTAATATTTACCTTTTATAACATGAATACAATGATAATGAGGTAGTGTTCCATGGATGAATATTCACAAACGAGAAGGAGAGGACGTCAAATGAAAATGCTGTTTGCCATAACACCATAATCTCACAAAAACTTGTATTCACAATATTCACGTCTTAACAAAATCACTCGTAATATATCACATGTAGAGGCACACGCACTTCCTGCACTAAAACGACATTTATCACAAGTACCGTAGAAATTATTTTATTCTAAGTATTAAACTTGATTGCGTTAATAAATAGTTGGTTTGCAATGTTTTGATTATTATAATATAATAAGAAAAGTAACTTGAATCTTTATGTCCTTATGTCGTCATTTTGGCGCCATATTAGTGCTTAATCGCGAGTATGCAACATCGATAAAACAGTTTCAAAATCGATCGAAAATCACCAAAAATATAGAACGATTTTAAAATACTTTCGTGTCACAATCCTTCCGAAACACAAAATTATAAATTATTACACTAAGCAATTTGTAATGTACGTGTTTGCTTTACTATGTCAACAAATTAACAGGAACAGATAGTTAACATTTTGGCCAATACGCGAGAGATACAATTTGAAATGGAACATGGTGGTTGGATGATAATTTTGACAACAAGCGTGTAGAGAGGAACAACGTTAATAGATTATCATTATAATCAATAAAATGCGAATACAACACTCTGCAGTGCGTAAAAGAAATCGCAAATCGTGTAGAATCGGCGCACAGCGTTACGTCAACACGAAGTCGTAAATGCAGTACGTGCGATGGTAGTGGCGGTGCCACGAGTAACTGCGGCAACGTGCGCAAAACGCGTTCGATCGATAATACAGATTACCGCGGAACTGCAACAGCCAATAGCAATCAGATCACATAAGACACACGCGAAGAACACGTGGAAACTGGAAATGCGGTCGTGGTTTAATGTATTGGCAATATAACCGGTGTTGTCGGCGGGAAACGCGTCGCACGACTGACGAATACTTTGCCACCCTTATAAGCTCCCCTTTCCACCACCCTCGTTTTCCACCCCCTCGATTCGTTTCACCCCAGACTCGTTCGTCTAACCCCAACGTTCAACAATATGCAATGGATGTTTGCATCGTTATTGGCACGATACAAATTGGTACCTTTCCAGTAAAGAAAACTTCTGAACGTCTTCGTTCTGTTTCTCTTCGCGACGCTAAATTCAACACAAACGCAAGCATTGTAATTACTTAGATTCTCTTAACCATTTGTATTTTAAAATGACTTCACGTAATACGATTATCGTAAAATGGACTATTCAACTGAACTTTTTATACCTTCTTCAAATGTACTTACTTTTTCAAAATGTTATTATTAGTGTATCTATAATATTAAATCTACAGCATTCATACATATCACACAATACTATTAAATTAACTAAGAAAAGTTAACAAAAACTAGATATCGATGATATTTATTGTGTCTTTCGTAAATGTAAAATTTAAAACGATTAACTGTGAAAGTTGAGTGAACTCAAAATAATAGACGCGGGATTGATGAAAACAATTATAATAGAAGACAGGATGTGAATTGTGCTTTTAATAATTGGATGTACACACATACGTACCAACCGTTTATGTTAATCGTTTTTTTCTTAACATGAAGCAATACAGCAATATTATTAAATAAAGGATATTATTTCATTTCAATATAATAACATTATAAAGTATTATTTTCAATATTGGCACCTGCTGTTAATGAACAAAAAACGATAAAACTTGGAGTATCTTATAGTTTCATTTTTAATGCTATTTAAATTCTTCAATTGGTTCAGGTGGCGCAGATGTATGTGGTTATCTGAAATTCCCTTTCACCGTTATCAGCTATGACGGAGAAAGAAGTTAGGTTATATTAGGTTAGTCTTTAAATGTCAATTTAAAACATATTATAAGTTCAACGTTGATATTTTTCATATAATATGGTATGAAACGAATGCGGATGCAGAACGGAAACGTTGAAACCATGTCATATTTGCGTGACTGGAGACAAGCATTACGTGCTCCTCATGTGTACAGAGTTGCTAACAGTACTTTTCGTATTCAAAGCCAATATTTAGCTTTGATTTTCCTATTATTATCTGTTCCTTTATTTTTACTTGGATTCCCCTTGTTACGCGGAGCTGTACATTCTTCAACATCAAATCAGTTTTTAACACAGTGCAAGTATTATAAGTACAATAAAACATACCCTTTATCGGCTCCAATTAGGACTTCAAGAGGTATCACTTATAGAATAGCAATAGTGAGTGATCTTGATCATGATTCTAAAAGTTTAGATAGGAAAAATGTATGGCACAGTATTATGAAAACAGGAAGTCTCTTTTGGAATCCTAGTACAAACTTTCTTTCTATCATATGGGATGATAGAAATCATATGTTAACATCGTCTTTAACTATGAAAGGACGTGGTATGGAATTATCTGAGTTAGTTACCTTTGATGGACGTTTACTATCATTTGATGATCGTACAGGAGTTGTATATTTTATTGAAAGTGAAGAAGCCTATCCATGGGTTATTTTAATGGATGGTAATGGTAAAAATACTAAAGGTAAATTATGCTCGTTTAATTTTATACTATCACTAAAATTTATCAAATTTTAGAATAATGTCAAATTTGTGAAATTAATTTTAGGATTTAAATCCGAGTGGGCAACTGTTAAAAATGAGTATCTATATATTGGCAGTATGGGTAAAGAGTGGACAACTCCTTCAGGAGAATTTGTACACAATAATCCTCTTTGGATAAAAATAATATCTCCACGTGGTGAAATTCAATCTTTGAATTGGATTTCAAACTATAAAAGATTAAGGCAGGCAATTAATATTGAATATCCAGGTATGCAAATATCTGTTTTACATATAACTTTTTACGTGCATAAATTTTCTCTTCAACTAATGTATTTTATACAATTCTTTCTCAGGTTATATGATTCATGAATCAGGAGCTTGGAGTGATATACACAAGAGCTGGTTCTTTTTGCCAAGGAGATGTTCTCATGAACGTTATAATGAAACTAAAGATGAAGCAATGAGTTGCAATATATTATTGACTGCAGATGAAAACTTTGTAGATATTAAGGTTTTTTTCTCTTATTTTTTCTCTAGATATGTTTAATATCTATTGTTTGGCACATTCTACTCTATTTAATTAGATTGAAAAATATAGAAATATTAATAAAATTTCATTTTTAGGTTACTAAAGTCGGTAATTTAGTTCCAATTAGAGGTTTCTCAACCTTCAAATTTTTACCAGGTTCTCAAGATTCAATTATTGTTGCCCTGAAAACTGAAGAGTATCAAGGGCAGACTGCTACATACATTGTGGCATTTACAATTGAGGGAAATATTATAATGCCTGAAACTAAAGTAATAGACAAGAAATTTGAGGGTCTAGAATTTATATGACATTCCATTTAGGAATATGTTAACAAATTTTTTTAAATGTAAATAAATGTACAGATTTTATAATTCTATAGTATTATTAAACAACAAGTAAAGAGAATGTATAAGTTATTTTGCACAGTATTTTCTAAATATCAGTATTATCCTCCTTAAATGTATTTTAACTTTCGTAGAAAAGTAGCATACTTACACGTGTTTGTACAGCGTGGTCCACGCAACTGGAATAACTCCATCGTTTACAACATTTATTTAAAATATCTCAAGAACTAATAATTTTTCCACCAATTTACCTTAATACCTTTTTATGCAGACCGACGGGATGATTTGACCTACACAAAAAAAAAGTGTACATTTCCATTTAAAAAATATCGCGCAACTGTAAAATGCACTTGCAAAAAAGATATTGTCTTGCAAATGTAGTCATCATTGAACCATTCACCTTCTTTCTTTAATATTATTTTCTAATTGCAAGCAAAAACGAGATATGACTTATTCTAATTGCATGAGCTGCCCTATGTATTCGTGTACAAAGCATATGTTGGTTGTAAATATAATGCACATATAAATATTTTGCAAAGCGTGTCATTTATTACAAGAATATAAAACAGAACATTAACTAGATCCAATGTCACATAGAAATTGTGAAGTTGAAGTTTCATGTTTTATTTATTGAATACATATCTATAATAAATATGTTTTATGTATTATAGAGTTTCAGCTCATTTTAAAGTTTTATTTCATTCTCGTTTTCATACATCCCCCTTCAATAATTAGTATCGACAAACTTTTAAATACCTAATATCATAATACGATTTCCAGGTCGTAATATATAGTCTAAAATCAATAATATCTATACACGAAAACTTTGGATGGTGGCAGCAGCATTGCGCTGCATTAAAAGACTTTAGTCAACTCGTGGCATCGTAGGTAGACGGCTCTGTTTAGTAAATATGAATGTTTTAATTGTATTCATTTAATCTAATAGTGATAACATGCAATTGTTTATAACTACCCTTGTAATGCGTTCAAAAATCGAATAAATTTAACATAATAAACCATTCGAAGTAAACACGACAAAAATTTACACGACCATTTAAAATATTCGTAAATAAATTACACACGAATGTATTTGATTTATACGAAAAAATTTTATTACATAATATTTCCAAGCAGCGTAATTGTTTCAATTATATGGAACATTACGATTTAATTAATACCTGTCAAAAATAATCAAAATCTAATAACAATAATAAAACTATTGCACCAGTTCAACTTCAGAAAACTCTCATCATTCAACCAAATATTTCCTTCGACTATGACAAAAGTTTTCAGTTTTGGCATATCCGGTATTACATGGGACAATCCCGCATGGGTACTGGAAGTGTATCTTGCATATCTGTGAATAGCGATACCGTGACAGTAACACGCCTGACTGCCGTGACGCAAATTCCCTGAAATCTATATACATTAGTGCTGCTTCTAATCGTTGAATTTTACTAACGACAAGGAGAGCATCAAAGGAAGACCAGCATCCATTTATTTCGCTGGAGAAAGTGACCTCTCGTTCGTTACGTTTAACTGCTACTGAAACGTTTCTCGCTTAACGCACACGTGACTCTCGCGTCGCAGGTATCGCGATATCCTTATCAGAAAGATTTTCTGATTCCCAAAAAGTTTGAGTCGAATCAGAAAAAGTTCTATCATATCGAAGAACAATGGCTGAAAGATCTAACGACACGAAGGAATGGAATATCGCTAGGATGGGAATTTCTCTGCTTTTAAATAATAAACCCGAGGAGGCGGAATGCTTATTTACTAAACACCCGCATAGTTTCCACATTAAGGCAGGTCGTTGCTTCGTCTTGTTCATGGTACGTAAATATACTATTATAACTGTTTTATTGTGTTGTAAAGATGAATGAACAAAGTCGCAATAATATTTGTTAATTTTATTTAAAAATGAGAAAGCAGAAAATGTTTTTATATATTCATTTCTAAAGAGTGCTTTTTCTAAAAATATCTCATGTTACTTTTAAGAGAATAGTTTGTATTTAACGTAAAAATAGTATTACATCGCGTGCTGCTGTGCACGTTTTTATCGATTGAGAATCTATTTGAATGTGCCCTATTAACAACACACGATACATGGTCTCGGAATAGAAACGGAAAGGAATAATTGGTAAATAAATTTTTAGAATGCATTGATGACCTTCGAAAATGATAAACTTCAGCAGGCTGTGTTTCTGCTGAAGGATATGGAAAGGGAATGCGCGAGTGATATAGGATGGTTGAAATCCATGAAAAGTAAGGTCTTCAAAGCGGAGGAAACAGGCGTAATTATCGTTTTTCGATATACAGCTGTTACTATTAAAGACAGTTATTTTTTGCTTCAAAAGAAAAAAAAATAATTAGCAAATATAACTTAAAATTAGTAAGGGAAGTTACTAATCGGATAATAAATATTGTAGAAAGACTATGTGAATAAATTGGAGAGGCAAATTGTGCTAGCAGACTCGCAAGTTTGTTTAGCGATATTAACATTACTGCAACAAGAAATTACTGGTTACGTACGTGGTGGTTGGATGTTACGTAAAGCCTGGCGAGTTTATCAACATGCATACTCGCAAATCTCACAAATCTACAAGCGCACATTTGGTTATAATCCATCTGGTATGTAATTCTATCGAAATATTATCTGTGTATTGCTTGATAAATTTCGTTGGTTATAATTTCACAAAAAAATAAGAAATAATATAAAATTAATTTGAGCCGCCCTATACGGTAATATTAACAAGTACTTAAGTTGTAACAGTAAAATGTCAAGGGTAAATAAGAACCTGCTTTAATATTTTAACTATTATTCGTGTGCTTAATTATGCATCACATATTCTATTGGAATAAAATGTGAATTAATTGGAAATTAGTATCATCGAGTACTATTTGAATCGGAAAACAAGATACGTTTAATAAAAACGATAATAAAGGAATGAAATTAAATTTTCAAGAGAAAGTAGAATAAATTGGGGAGTGATGATCCTATGTGTCAGATGGACCACCTACATAATTTTTGAAATACCCGTTAGATGTCACGACTATTATCATATTTCAATTCTATATGTTGTATTTTGCCGCCAGAAGTTTAATTGCGTTGCATTA